GGCAAACTTTTCGAGGAGGGTTGTAAACTCTGGAACAATCTACCAGAGAGTGTGGACGGCACCGAGGTGAGCTCTTTCAAGAAGACTGACCAACACTGAGCGGGTTCAGGTACATTCAGAGCCGGTGCATGCCCAGTATTTGCCAACAGTGTGACAGAGACGTGACCGATCGCGGGGCTAGCGAGCCGACCTTTGTGAAGAATATAAAGGAAAGGGTGACCGATCGCCCAAGCGGCTAACAAGCCGATCAGTGGCGAAGAGGACAAGTCGATTCATCCATAATAGCCCATGAAATGCTTATCTAGTAATCCTTAGTCTGACTCCCACGACATTCCTTGGGCCATTCCGGTAGTTTTAATACAATGTAAACAAACACAGTTCTGCCACATCTCAAAAAATACGCCAGTCTCTGTACCAGGTATAATTAGAGGCAACTGTACCTGAACTTGTGCCAAAGTTGGTCAAGCTTGGACTAGAAGGAGCTCACACTTGGTCCTGGCCCAACATTATTTGGCGGGTTATTCCATAGGTTCATATTACCCCAAAAGGTTTTCTGCACCGATAGATTATTTAACTTGAGGCTTTAACCTCTACTGGGCGGGCATCATCAGATAATTCCACTCTGTTTTCCATCAAATTTTCCTCTATACAGTCATTATTCTTCTTCACAACTTAAATGGAATAAAAGTATCCCTAAAACTGTATTATAACTACATTGTCATTCTTATACATCACGCAATTCCTGCCTCATTTAAAAGATACAAAACTGCAACCCTGAACCGCGTGTGACATTACTAAGCTTGTGACTCGACCTTTGCGTGTTACCCAGATTGTCTAAGTAACTTTCACCTGATCTGACTCGCCTGGTTAATAGTTTCAGAGGACCATCACCTGTAAGCAAATTAACCCTAAAGGAATATACTATTAATTGAGTTTTGTTCGTATCATAAACATAATAAAAAATATACACGTTTACATTATCATAGTCATTCATTTTTTTATTCTCAGACTTTTTCTTCACATATTGGTGACTTGACTTGTACCACCTGATAATTATCGTTGAATTTGCTATGGTTCACAACACATGTACTCTGTAGGTAAAGTCATTATACACCTGCTGTGGAATCCTTATAATTATGGGATTAAAAGAAACATTAAAACACGTGGTTCAACAATAAACATTTATTTAGTAACGTGAACATAAACATCAGTGTAAATGCAATACTCAGGAGGGTCGTGTTAGTGCCAACAATATTTTTGGTGGGTCGTATATTTCCTCACGTATAAGGATAGTCTTTATAAACTTGTGACCGTGGAAAAACATTACCTATATTTATTAATTATTTCTTGTATAACAAAAGTTTTCAGTGAATTTATATTGTGGAAACTTAAAATCAAGGGTGAAAACGCTCTTTTTTATTCTCCGTAACAGCTAAAAGGTATCAATAGGTGGATTGTTTCTAAGGTAACTACAGTCTCAAGCACTCAAGATTTCTTCAGACTTTTTCAGACGTTAAGTAGAAAAAAAATACAATGTCTTTATATCAGTTATGAATGATGTGTTCCAGCAGTAATGAATGTAATTTCGCGCCATCAAAGATCACGTTTCAGGTCATCTTGACGTATGGATGGACGCTTTTGGCAATAGTTACGCTCGCTTAGTTAACGTCACTTAATTTTCAGGCATCACTGACGCTTAAATATCGGACAACTGTAAACAATTTATAGTATGGAAGAATAATTCACTCACGATTTTATTTTCCCGGTCAACCAAATACTCAGTCTTATGTCTTACAGGTTGGCGTCAATGAGTCCTAGGTAATCCGCCATAAAAACACTCAGCTCGTTCCTGGCGGATTATAATGCTCTGGACAATCATTAAGCTTAAATTACTGGCTAGAATAATACTCTAATGAGACTAACTCCAGAATTGACAGGCAGGGGTGAAGGCGTGTGATGGACGACGCTACACCTGGAAGTAAACACAGGAGGATCAAGTCTTGGTTGGTACAGGCGGCCGCGGAAGGAAGGGTCCGACTGGGAATTCGTTCATTAATTATATCAAATAAATAATCATTGCAGTAATTCGTATAAAGAATACCGGATTAGTACCAGGAATATTCCCATAGATGCTACAAAAGTCGTAACTAATTCTAAGGTGATATGAGGAAGAATTTTAGAGTAAGAATTAGCAATTAGAATTTTTACCTTGGAAGACAGAATTATACCAGTGCCAGAATTAGTGCTACATGTGTTACTATTGCTGCCGTGAGTGCCAGGGTGCCACTGATGGTACTCGAGTCAACATTAGTGCCATCACCCACGTCAGAATTATAGCCCGGATATAGAATTTATGACAGTTCGAGTCTTTAGGTCAGAATGAATACCTTGTTAGTATTAATCAAGAATGGTAAAATTAGTATAATAACTCGTTGAAGGTTAGTTATAATCCATCTGTTATATAATTCATCTTAGCCAGAATTGATGCCAACAGTGTGGTCATCAGTTTTATAGTGCCAGTATTCGTGCCTCTAATGCCAGAGTAGTGCCTTCCATGCCAGAGTAGTGCCTTTAATGCCAGAGTAGTGCCTTCAATGCCAGAGTAGTGCCTTCAATGCCAGAGTAGTGCCTTCCTTCAATGCCAGAGTAGTGCCTTCAATGCCAGAGTAGTGCCCTTCAATGCCAGAGTAGTGCCTTAATGCCAAAAATTCATTCCTTTAATAAGATAATAATGCCTTTAATTCCTGGTGTAGTGCCATTAAAGCCAGAATTAATGCCAGTATTTGTATAGAGATCCATTAATGCCATAAGTGTCATGAATGCCAGACTTCGTGCCAATATTCCCAAAACTAGTGGTAATAATGCCAGAAATAGTGCCAGTAGTGCCATTGTTAGAGTCGTTATGTCAAACTAGTGCCATTAATGTTAAAATATGCTCCATTACAGCCAGGATTAGAATTTTTATACGTATTTTCTATAAACGTACGAATTAATTTCCATATTATTACCGAGTAGAAAAACATCCCAGAGTACAGGAGATCCAAAGCTTTCCCAGAGTACACTTTCAGGATGCATAAAACCATATCCCTTGAGTAGAAGACCCCGAGTGCAGGATAACCAAGCTTTCCCAGAGTACAAGCGAGCCAGAGTATATAACAAGGTGCAAGAGCTACTCACGGCATTTAGGTCCAATCGTAGTGGTAGGTGAAGTAGTGCTGGTCTTCAGCGGCCTTCAGTAGAGCTTCACTGATGGCGGATCGTCAACACAGTTCGCCAACCACCTGTGTGTAAGGAGGATGGATAATGAAGAGGGAGAGAGAGAGAGAGAGAGAGAGAGAGAGCCATTTAATTTAAGTGATACAAGGTTGGTCTCTTTTAATACTGCGGTAAAACCTTTAAACTCATTCATAGTCATTTAATTCCCGAATTTAATATCATTCAAAGTCATTTAAGTCCACCATTTAAACGTTTTCATAAAACTGTTTATTTGCGTCTATTTTCTTTCTTGCGATAAAAGAAAATGAAACGTTTATATGGAGGACTTCTTTATTTTGCTACTGATCGACCTGTTAGCCGATTGTAATGTCACTCACGTCTCTGTTGGCACTGTGGGCATGTACTGGTCTGTTGGGAAACACACCTGAGAGTGAGGGCCTCGGAGACAGCAAAGTCACCCTGAACCAGTCGAAGATGGAGTTGATGAGGAGGGTGGAGTCACTGACGGCTTTGACGCCCTTGTTGCAGAAGCCTCGGAGGGCGTCGTCAAGCTCCTGATCCAGATGAGACGAGTCGTACCACGTCAGCGGTGGACAGCTCTGACGGAGAACGACCACAAACGTTAGCTGCTACCTACGTTAAAACTGAACGAAGTAACACCAGAAGTATCCGAGATAATGTCAGTCTTTTTAATATAAGACCTATTTTTCCCATTTAGAGGGCAAAGAATAACAGGGAATTTATCCAATAAATCTTGAGAAAGTTGAAACGGAAATGTGATCCCTCATATAAAACGCAAATACAGATATTCTACTCACCAGGGCACCGCAATTGAGAGTCCGTGGATGCGTGGGTCAGCCGAGGGTGGGAGAGCCAGACGGGGGTCGTTGTGTTTGAACATAATGTCGCCGGAGGTGGTGAGGTCGATTACCTGGTGAAATGAGGCGTCGGTTAGTGATCACCAAAACAACATTAACCTTGCCACAAATGTAAGTTATAGCGCTGATTCTCAGTTAACCACTAAACAATATTCAGGACATTCCTTAACAATAAGTTACACCTCCCCAGACCTTTCCCAAACTAAAATATGGCTCCTGAATGTCACCTAACAGCAACCATGGCCCTTTACCGTCGTCCTAATCAAGAATATGGCCCTTTGACGTCAAAATGGCCTTCTGATGGTCCTCAAGAAAATTACCCTAGACATCCCTAACCACAAACACGACACCTCTGGCGGTCTCTAGCTGACTTACCTCAGAATGCCGTGCTCCATATCGTCGAGGTGGAGGGTGTAGCGGCCCACCTTATAGTAGTACCTCTGCCAGAAGTCGGTGACGCTGAGGGTGGACTGCGGAGACTGTCCATGCAGCAGTGAGTGGATCGTCAGCAGGTTGTATAGGTCGTTGGAGAAGTTAAGGCTATGCTGTACAGGTGGTGGTTATGTTGTACAGGTGGTGGGTATGTTGTGCAGGTGGTGGCTATGTTGTGCAGGTGGTGGCTATGTTGTACTCTTAAAATAAAGACATGAAGGAGTCTATTGGTCTTTGTTATGTTATGATTCAGGTTTACAGTCACCCAGAGACAAGATTTCCTGTTGTACACTCGCCCAAATAATGCCTTTACGTTTTAGTGTGAGACAATATGACACAACGAACGAAGGATTCTGACAACCCTATCGAGACAACAGGAGTCACAGTGTTCATTCTGGGACGAGTTACACATACCAAAATCATCAGTATCAAGAGGGAGTAAATAAAGGATACTGATAAAGAAGGACTCGTTCGGTATCGTTCATCTGAAGGGGGTCGACTTTCTTCAGTAGGGAGCCGAACTCGTCGAAGTTGCGCTTGTAGAAGGTACTTTGTTCTAGAGCCAGGTACGACACCTTCTGCCTGTCCTCACTCACGAAGTTGTCGACTAATCTGCAAACACCACAGGGAGGGTTAGTGGGAGGAGGAAGGAAAGAAGAAGAGAAAGAGTAGGATAAGGGAGATAAATGAGAAATAATGATGGTGGGAGGAGGAGGAGGAGGTAAGGAGAAAGGGGTAGTAAGGTAAAGAGAAAGAAGAGAAGGGATGAAGGAAAGGAGAAGGAAGAGATAATCAGCAGGAGGGAGGAAGCAACAGAGAGATCAAGAGAGAAGGAGGGACGAATGCTACAGTATGAAGAATTTTGTTGCGGAGAGAGAGAGAGAGAGAAGAGAGAGAGAGAGAGAGAGAGAGAGAGAGAGAGAGAGAGAGAGAAAATAAGTAAGAAAACATGTTTGCACACTATCTTTCTTCCATCTCTATAAACTTACTCCAGTGCCAAGGAAAATATAGCAAAGAAACACCTATAACACAATGAATATAGGAGAAAATTATGTACTGTCAATCATAACCTGTTGTGTTAGAGATGAGATACATAATATACATGATATACAGACAACATGATAGAGTAACATGAGCTTACACGTCCATAAACCTAGCAGTCATGTCGACCATCTGTGTGGGTGTGGTGGTGAGGTTGATGGCGGGGGCGTTATCATTCAGTACCACCATGGGCGCCCTCCACAGTCCCACCCACGATAGTAGCTTCAGAAATTTGGCAAACATTCTTCCACCTGTGTTGGATCACCTCAGGTCAGGGTTCCTGCTGGTGGAGAGAACGTGTGGTACATGTAAACTCCTTGATCACACACACACACACACACACACACCAAAAATAATTAAACCAATACAAAAATACTAACACTACATATTACCACGTCCCGATCACTACTGAGGTCAGCTGACAGTCATAATGTAAACAAATACATAGGAAGAGGCCACCTAGGGAGGATATGTTGAACTTGGCCATCATCCTCCCACGAGCACTGGTTGTTTGGTAACACCCGTGTGAAAATGCTACCACCTGTGCTGTTACTTAGTACTACATTATCGAAACACTAGCCGTTGGAAATATATATTTATGAGTTAACTTTATTGTATTTTAAGTTATATTAAAAAAAAAACAACTACGCAACTCTGGCAGGAGCGCATAGTTCAGGTACTATAAATAAACTTGAGTTAATGACTAAACATGCGTAGTCTAAACCTGTTTGGTGTCAAGACAAAGCCATAAAATAATACTTTAACGTGAGTGTTTTGAAGAAGAGTGTTTTAAAATAAGTGTCCATCGATGGCTTCCGGGTGTGAGGAACGAGGCACTGTTACTGAGGACGCCTTAACTTCGGAACATCCTACCGAGATCCTACAGCTGGTGGTGGTGGTCTCGGGAGGACCTTAACTTCATGACGTCCTGCTGGGATCCTGTACAGTAGCTGGTGGTGAGGGTGACATATTTGAGGAGTCCCCCAGCATCCTCGTTCTTAGTAAGCAGGATATCCTGGTGTCGTGCGCGTGTATGTGTATATGTGTGTGTGTGTGTGTGTGGGGTGAGGGAGGAAGTTCTGCTACTTCGTCGGATGCTTAAACACACTTGGGAGGTGTTCATTAATTATGTGCACAGAGAGAGAGAGAGAGAGACAGACAGAGAGAGGGAGTTGATTGCATATGCGTACCGATACATCATTACGAGAACATTAATGAAACAAATAAAATGATATATTTATGACGACAGCGACAAAAGCCTTTAACATTAACAAAATAAACACACAATACTTAAATGAAATAACGTAGGAAACCAAAAAAAAAGATGAATGACAGGAAGAATAGTAAACACGAAAGAGGAAAAAACAAAAACAAAAAACAAATTACGAATGACAGGAAGAATAGTAAACACGAAAGACTGAAACAAAAAAAATTACGGAAAGTAGGAAATTACACAAACCCGAGAACAGCCGCAAAGACAAATACAACAATCACAAAAAGAATAACAACAGGAAAAATCACTAATAGTCAAGATATTACTACTAAGCAGAACGACCCCTTAGGAAGAGCGATTTGTTAGTGTTTACGAATTGACTTTCCCCACCCCGTCTTTCTCTCTCTCTCAAAGGCAAAGAGATTCTCACACACACACGTTTCGCTTTCCCACCAGACACAACCCGGGTAACTCTCTGCTGTTCCGTTATGTCCGGTATTGGGGAGTTCCGTTACCTTAGGATTGCTTGCTTTCCGTCTGTACTTCCGTTCATTTGTCCGTACTTCCCGTACCTCCGTGTCTCTCTGACCGTCCATTCGTGACTGAAGTTTTCTTTGTTGTCTGTCTGTCTGTCTGTTTGTCTGTCTTCGCCTCTCACAGTAACGTCTTCAAGGCCGCCAGTATTGTATATGTGTTGTTCCGTAACTCTGTGAGAGGACCTTTATTCTTACCCCCAACACGACTTGTTACGTCACACACCACCTTGTAGAAACAGACGTGTGTAAATATACGGAATAAAACACTCGTACAAAGACTGTTTTAGATGTAAACAAATACATGACGTGTGTTTATATGTGGAGAGAGAGAGAGAGAGAGAGAGAGAGAGAGGGTTTACATCAACATCACCGCCGCGCCTAAAGGGGAACCTCTGACCTCAGTATCCAGGACATGGAACTGGTTGTAACGCTTAACACTGACATTGTTTCGTGCATTATATAACACTGAGACACTGTGTCATGTGGGAGCTATGTGTGTCAGCGGTTGTGCGACGCCTCCTCCTCCTCATTCAGGTTCATCTGAACTAGATAATGAGACACAAGTGTAACCAACGACACGCACATCCCCAAGCAGGGTGCACCAGTCCTCCTGTAGCGCCCCGGGGCCTGACCTCACTGATCCTGGAATAGAGGACACAAATGATACATCTCCTTCTAGTTGTCTCTAATATTGACGTTATATAAAGGGATAATACAGACGCTATTAGTTATGAGTCATTTATACGCCCTTCTAATTTATCGATTCTACGAAAACTGATCTTACGAACATCTGAAAATCGTTTCCTGTGCCCTGATTGTATGAACTATTAAGGATGCCCTCAGTATCGTCAGCAGTCATAACAAGGCTGACTCTAAATACCGTCAGCACTAAATCACAGTTATGCAAAACCACAAAATAAAAAAGCCAACACTAACCCAGGGAAAGATTCGGGGTTATAGATTTCAATATTTCCTTCAACAGATATGGCAGAATACACCTAACACCTCACTTCACCTAACCTAACACCTCACTTCACCTAACACCTCACTTTAGTCACCACCAATAACATAGTACTCGCCTGTGATGTTGCACCGAGGCTGTACTGTACTTTCAACAAGTCAACAGATGTGTTCTAATCTTGTGTGTCCATTGGTTGAAATTACACCACAGTAACTTCAACCAATGGGCCCAGAAGATTAGAACACATCTGTTGAAGGTACAGTACAGACTCGGTGCAACATCACAGGCGGGTACTATGTTCGTCTAGTTAAAATAGGATCACATGAAGATAAGACACCCCAGTATTATTTCACCTGGAGATGATTAACTACTCTAATGCTACTTTAAGGAGGTTAGGATCGTTAATAATTAGGTGAAATAAATTGGGTCTAATATTGAAAGGGGATTTATTTAATGTCCGGTTAGGTTAGGTTAGGTTTTCTGAAATTAAAATAAAATGCTCGCGCAGATAATTTATTTCCCCGCGTCTCTATAGTTAGTGAATCAGCCAATCAAAAGTGTCGTTTACCTGAACTATATACCTGTTGAATTAGGGACAGACGTGGGCTAGTTTACTCTGTTGTGTTGACTCTTAGACACAACAGAGTATTTATTTTGACTTTAAATTGATAATGTCTCCCACCTGCTTCATATTTACTGTTCAGGGATCTTGACGCCCACTCCATCGTTTATCATTGACCTAACTCACGAATACGTTACTATAGAAGTAAAACTCGTCACCTTACGTCAAAACACAACTTATTTTCAGAGGTGCGTCATGTTTGGTTTGTGTACTTGGCAACGAATAATTTTGTCACACACACACACACAACAATAAATCACTTGACACTGCACCATCCACCACAAATTCATCTAAAACTGTATTGACAAAATTCAGCGAGACTTATCAATGTGTCCAGATTTTGCCCGCCAGAACACGTGTAAGTTCGACCAAATAACGAACAAGACTTTAAAATACACAATATTACCTTCTAAGAGTAGACGTACAAACACATCGCATTATTACCTAAGGACACTGCAACTGTATCCCATTTTAAACAATATCTTGACGTACCTAGACAGTCAGGCAAGTAAAACAGTGACAGGAGCTAGTAGCGTGCGTCCTTCCCCTGGCGTCTCACGGTACACTGGCTGCCTCCTCACCTGCTGAAAGAAAGCCAAGATCAAGAACCAAGTTGACGAATACCATGATACTTATGACGTGACTTAGATGTATATTGCTGTATCGTAGAGGGAATCTATTATACACAAATATACTTGTTTTCATCTAGCTTTTTCAGACATACTCGCAATACTAAAAAAAATCATCATAATTATTTTCGAATTATTTTTGTCTTCATAATTTGAGCATTGTGACATCAGTGATTTATTATTTTTGAGAAGTTTAAACAACATTGTGAGGGGAAATGTACACACACACACACACACACACACACACACACACACACACACACACACACACACACGTTGATATGTACAAGAGGAAGTTGCCGTGGACGTTAGGAGGCGTGTGTGTCATCCACCACTAGTTGGGCCGAGTTAAAAAAAATACCAGAGAGAGGGAGGGAGATCACCTAACCTAACCTAACCCCTCAAGGTAGCATTTGGGTGTTCGATCATCAGGTGAAATAAACTGGGGAGAGAGGGGCTAATTATGAAATTAACTATCTTCTGTGAATTACCTGAATAAACAATATCTACCTAGTGTCGATCATTCAGCCCTCCACTGACGAAAGACAACAGTGTGAAGAGGGTAAGTGAGAAGGGGTGGAAAGGGGGGTGTGGAGGAGGAGAGGGTGGAGAGGGGTGGTGGAGAGGGGAGGGTGGGAGGGGAAGAGAGTGAGGGAGGGAGAGAGAGAGAGAGAGACGGAAGGAAAGAAAGAAAGAATGAATAAGGAAAGAGGGAGAGGAAGAGAGACTGAATAACAACATAAAAATTACATACGTGATAGCAGTAGCTGGATAATAACAGCAACTATGATAAACCAATGACGTAACGCGGAAATAACTTGATGTTCGTCACGGTTATTATTTTCGTATATACCGCCACACAACAATTCATCAATCACACTAACGACAGAAGAGTTCCTTGGAGGGATGTTTATGGCCAGCGAATACAAACCAAGCGGGAGGCGTCTACTCCACCTATGTGTGATGTAAACAGAGAACGTCGTGTCCTCGTCCCGGCGTTATATAGGCACTCCTCACTGCTGGGTCCATCCGTGTTTTTTTTTTTGGTGTGTGTGTGGGGGTTGTTTTAGTTTACGGTAAAAAATAAAACCTTTGGATATAACATTGTTTTTATATGATTATAATATGTAGATTAGGCAGCTAAGCTTTATTTCACGCTATGATTAAACACTGCAACGCTAACCTAACGAGAAATTTATAGTAGTGAGAGTTAATAATATCACAAATTAAGGTATAAAGTTAGGTCTTGTTAGGTTAGGTTAGGCTAGATTAGGTTAAGATTCATTAAGACATGACAAAGATCAAGTTAAAGGGTTAGATTAAAAATACAGGGTAGGTTAAATTAACACAGGTAGGCTAAATTAACATACAGGTTAGGTAAAATTAACATACAGGTAGGATAACATACAGGTAGGATAAATTAACATACAGGTATGGATAAATTAACATACAGGTTAGATTAAATTAAATAGGTTGATAATTAACATAGGTTAGATTAAATTAACACACAGGTTAGGTTAAATTACCCCCATAATCAAACTAAACATAAAATTTAACAGTGAGACAATATTCATTTCATTATTTCTCTTTCAATCACCAAAAACCCAGAAATGCAGACCTGAAGAGGGCCAGGCACCTTGTATAGTCACCAGACAACCAGAGACCAGTTTTTAGTATTGTTGTGATGAATTTATCTGAAGGTCGAATTGAAGCGGTTTATGGGGAGCTGTTGGATGGGCGAGACAAAGGAGAAGCGTAGGGAACAGGAAGAGAAGCGTAGATAATAGGGAGAGAAACGTAGATAATAGGGAGAGAAGGTAGGGAACACAGGGAAGAGAAGGTAGATAATAGGGAGAAAAGCGTAGATAATAGGGAGAGAAGGTAGATAATAGGGGGAGAAGCGTAGATAATAGGGAGAGAAGCGTAGATAATAGGGAGAGAGGCGTAGATAAAACAGTGTAAAAATAGCATAGAAAGAGAAGAGGGAAGAAAAGAAAAGTAATAATAATTTAGGAAAGAAAGAATGAGAGAAGGAGAAGGATGAGGAGGGAGAGAATAAGGGAGATAGAAGAGAGGAGAAGATAGTGTCGTAGTGTGTGGTGTCATCATAACACTATGGCTCACCACACTCCACTGACTCAACTCGTGATGGTGAAAGTGGTCTCTCTCTCTTCTCTTCTTCTCTGATTCAGTCTCCTATTGGGAACCTCCTGAAGAGAGAGAGAGAGAGAGAGAGAGAGAGGGGGCCATAAGGAACCAACACAGCGAAAACTTAATCTGTCTGTCTGTCTCTGTCTGTCTCTGTCTGTCTGCTTGCACTAGTCAACACACACACACACACACACACACCGTCGTCAAATCACAATAAAGAAGAAAGAAATATGTCGGCGCCATGCTGGTAGTGGTGGTAGTAGTAATGGTGGTGGTAGTGGTAGTGGTGATAGTAGTAATGGTGGTGGTAGTGGGGTAGTGGTAGTGGTGGTAGTAGTGGTTGGGACAGTAGTGGCGATAGTAGTAAGGTGGTGGTAGTGGCGATAGTAGTAATGGTGATGGTAGTGGCGATAGTAGTAATGGTGGTGGTAGTAGTAATAATAGTTAGTAGTAAGTAATAGTGAATACTGAAGTTAATAGCTGAGAATATTCTCACAGTTCACCAGTAATGAGACGCACAAGGCTGTCCACCATATCATCTAACCTAACCTAAACTACAATCTAATCTAACCAAACCTAACCAAACCTAACCTAACCAAACCTAACCCCCCCCTCCAGGTAGCATTAGGATATTTACAGTAATCAACAGGTGAAATAAACTCAGGTATCTTAAAATCGTCAGGTAAATCCCACGTAATTAGAGTTGCTGGGAAACAGAGAGAGAGAGAGAGAGAGTGTGTGTGTCCACCAAATTCTCTTTCCTCTCGTTGCTCTTATATTATCCTTCCGCATACCCCCAAGCCAGCCCCTAGCTCTCAGGTCTGTCTTTGCCCTTGATAGTCAGCCCTACGTCACCTTGACTACCGTAGTTATGCTAGTCCTCAGTGCGGTGTTCTCAAGTGACATGGTTGTAAATGGGAGTTCGCTTAATCTTTATTCATTTTATACTGGTTGATGTTATGCTTTTATATTCCTGCTTATTTCTGCTTATCTACCTACTCCCCTTAACCCTACCTACTCCCTCTTATACCTACTCTCTTATCCCTACCTACCTCTGCCTACCGGAACAGTATCTATATTATTGTTAAATCTGCGTCACTGTTGAACTTTACAGGTGATTATTATTTCATTGTACATGTTGGAGGGGGTTAGGCTAGGTTATATTAAGATTAGGTTAGGTTAGCGTTAGGTTAGGTTAGGTTGGGTTAGCGTTAGGTGAACTAAATTAAAGGACTTAATCTTGTAAAATACCAGAGGAGGAGGAATACCAGTTCGAGGAAGGTGTGGACAGAAATTGATCAAGAGTCGTGACCAACAGCTTCTGCCAGTGTGTGTGTAGGCAGGAACTGTGAATTATTTACATTTTATTGAAGGTTACAATCTGCTTACTACAGGATCCCATTACTTGGGTTCTTAGGTTATCTGGGTGATTAGTACTGTACCTTTATTTATATGACTTCAGGTATAACATGTAGAGAATTAGTTAAAATTGCTTTGTTTCTACACTGGGATTACCAAGACTAGATGCGTAGTTTTATTGAAAGTCATGAAATTTATCGCATTAACAGGAACGTTATAAGTGATAAAACAAATCATTGTAATATTTCTACAGCAAATAAAATTCAGAGTTGCAGAAAACATTTCATGTCGTGTGTCAAGTTTAGGTAATTATTTCGGAATGGTCATTAATATCATGCATTTGTCAGACCCCCTTCGTCATGACACACCTTGGAAGTAACCTGGCACTATACCACTGATTAACAAATGCAACAAGGTTCACAGCACAACGATAGTGATTTAAAAGACTAATTAAACTCTATTACTCAAAACTAGACCAACCATATTGACAAATACTTTAAATTCTTTACTGGTATTTGTAAAAAAAAGGTAGTGAAGTAATTCCGACTTGGCACCTGGCACGTGAGGTTGAGGTAAGGGCAGGTTACCAGGCGACGCACCAAAACATTCACTCGCCCTCATGACACCGCGGAGGGAGATTGTGTGTCGCTCTCTCTACTGTTCCTTGTTTCCTATTAATATTCATCCCTTTAACAGTATATGGTTACTACTTTATGTTGCAATGACGAGCAACGACATAGCAAAATATACAAGTGAATCGGTTTTATAGTTCAGTGGTATGACGTCGAAAACAATGTGCTGTCGATAATGGTTTAGTTGTGAGGTGGCTCTGAGGACAGGTGTGATAATACGCACTACAGGTGTTGTGAGCTGCTGTGATGTTAACTGAGCAGTTGTGGGTTCTGAGACCGCTGTGGGTGTTATTTGAGCCGCTGAGTGTTACCTGAGCCGCTGTGATAGTTACCTGAGCAGCTGTGAGTGTACCAAAAGCAGCTAGGTGTTACCAGACCAGTTGTGAGTGTTACCTGAGCAGTTGTGAGTGTTACCAGACCAGGTGTTGAAGTGTCCTAAGCAACAATGTGATGTACACGGACTTGTCAAACCTTCCTTCTTGAACCTCCAATGACACAATAAAAGGTAAATTGATAATACTATAAATACCGTCTTGCACTGATCAGCTTCGGCACACCACAAGCTTAAGTACATGGAATACCGTCTTGCACATCAGCTTCGGCACACAGCTTAAGTACATGGAATACCGTCTTTTACTGATCAGCTACAACAAGCTTAGGGCATGCACCCTAGCGAACTGCCTCACGTGATTAAAGTATTTCGCATTTATAGAGGTGTAAAATACAAGGGTTCAACTGTGACGAAA